ATGTCACCGGAGGACACACTTAGAGAGAGGAAGGGAAAGGGAGAGAGAGAAGGAGGGAGGGAGGGAGGGAGGGAGGGAGGGAGGAAGAGAGAGAGAGAGAGAGAGAGAGAGAGAGAGAGAGAGAAACATTGATTGCTTGCCTTCTGTACGTGCCCTGACTGGGGATGGAACCCACAGCCCAGGTATGTGCCCTGACTGGGAATTAAACCAACAACCTTTCAGTGCACAGGAGGACACTCCACCTACTGAGTTACTCCGGCGGGGCCTATCCCCAAGGTTCTGAAATGCCTTCCTAGGAGGATATGCTCCCCCGTCCTCCAGGCTGATTATCACTAAAGCTGTCAGCCATTGTTTTTGTTGTGAATATGTCACAATTTTTTTTTGTTTGCTGATGAGTAAAACAGACTGAGAACCATTGTGTTAGTGACCTTACGTAGGACCAACAAATGAGTGGGGTTTAGGGCACTTTTGGATTCCACATCCATTTATTCAGCAAATATGTATTGAGTACCTACTGTGGATCAGCCACTATTATAGGTGCTATGGGCATAAAAGTGGAGATAAGAGTTCTTGTTTAATGGGTATAGAGTTTCAGATGTGCAAGATGAAAAAGTTATGGAGATCTGTTTCTCAACAATGTGAATACACTTAATACCACTGAGCTGTGCACTTAACCATTGGTTGAGATGGTGAATTTTATGTTAGGTGGTATGTGTTTTTTATCACAATGAGGAAAAAAGTGAAGATACGGTGCCTGCCCTCGGGGGTTTTCATTTAAACTGGAGAGAATTATCTGTATAGGACCAATAATAATACATGCAATAAACACCCATCAGGGTGATTCCCAGCTCACAATAATTGCCCTACTTTAGGAACAGCCCCAACCACAGAGGTGTATCTGAAGTAATGATGTCCCATGTCCTTGTGACTTGACCCTGGCCTCTGGCCACCTCCGAGGGGCAGGCAACTAATCTAAGCTTTACCAATTTTTGAACCTTGAATGGAGAGATCAGGGACTGGAGTTGGTGAAAGCTGTACCTTAGTGGCAGTGCCCATAAACTCCAGTTACTGAGGCCCCCAGAACTGCCCAGTTTTCTGCACTTTCAAAGGCCACGTTGGTTAACTCCATCTTTGGTTCTTAGAGCCACGGACAAATCCTTCCAATACAGCCCCCTATTTACTGAAGCTAGCCACAATTATTGTCTGCTGTTTTCCACAAAATAACTTCAATTAAAACCAAACCAGAAGTACTCCTTCTGGGAAATAAAAGTTGTCAATTTCCACAAAGCAAGTTTAACAGAGTGTGGAGAGAAAGAATAAAACTATTTTCATTATTTGCCACCACCCCCATAAAGAAATAAATAAGATTGAGAACTTGCTGGTGTTAGAGGAGGGGAGGTCTTCAGTCACCTGGCTGGGGAGCTCAGTTGGTTAACGCATCATCCTGATATGCCAAGGTTGCATGTTCGATCCCTGGTCAGGACACATAATCAATCAATGATGACATAAATCAATGTTTCTCTCTCTTTTTTTTTTTATACATTTCATTTATTTTTTACAGAGAGGAAGGGAGAGAGATAGAGAGCTAGAAACATCAATGAGAGGGAAACATCGATCAGCTGCCTCCTGCACACCCCCCACTGGGGATGTGCCTGCAACCAAGGTACATGCCCTTGACCGGAACCGAACCTGGGACCTTTCAGTCCGCAGGCCAACGCACTATCCACTGAGCCAAACCGGCCATGGCTGTTTCTCTTTATTTTTAACACACTCTCTCTCAAATCAATAAAAAAATTCCAACTTTAAAATAAATAAAAATAAAATCTTTTCCAGTAATCATTAAAAAATAATAACATATGTGGTATTGGTTAATTAATAGATTAACATAGCAAACTCTTGCTCCATAAGCAAACATTGCACTCTGAAGCTTGTTGTTTGGGTTATTTTCCTACTGGATGTATGAAGTAGGGGGAAGGAAGGGGTTGTGTGTGTAGCCCAAGTTATGCAGGGTTCCTCCCACAACTCTCCTTGTCGTTAATTCAGTTGCAAAACCTCCCTTGTCTGAGAAGACTAAAAAAAGGAAGCGGAAAGAGGCTGTGGCCAGAGCTGAGGGTGCCATTATCCCTCTGGCAGCCCGTGCTGGGGCTGCCTGCGAGTAAAAAGACATTATGCACATAGGAAGAGAGAAGGAAGCTCCCTTTTGGGAAATGATCCAACTAGATAAATATCCCGCCACGATTTCTAGCAAAAGGTTGCCCCCACGTGAGGACCCGAGGTCACTGCAACGTGTGGGGAGATTGACATAGAGGGGAGAGGGAGAGGCGCCCTGAAGGACTAGTGGGTACAGGCTGTGTACCTGCAGATGGGAAGGGAATCCGTTCACCCAGCAGGTCATTTCTACCCAGCGCCGGGCACGGAGGCCCTCTCTTAACAGAGTTCAGCGAACGCTTCCTGAGCATGGGACGCCAGGGCGAAGAGAAGGAGGCGGGATGGACGACGCAAAAGACGGGGCCAATAGTCCCGGAGGCCGCAGAACAAGTCGGGGCTTGGGACCCAGGAGAGGCCTCGCGAGGTTCCTTGAAAACCTCGAAGATCACGGGCAGGAAGTCAAGGGGCGGGCGCTGAGGCGCTTCTGGCAAGAAGAAAGGGGACTTTCGGATTTTCGGTGCAGGACCGAGGTCACCTGGGAATTTGATCTGAAACGTAGGTTCCAGGCTCAGGTAGAGAAGATGAATTGTATGTGAGGCCTGCGACGCTGAAGCCGTTGCCCGGGAAACGGGAAGAAGGTGGAGTCAAGTCTAACTTTGACTGACAGACGCCACAGCAGGGGCGGGACTCTGCTCCTGATTGGCTATGTACTAGAGGTGTGGCTTTTACCGATGACTGACAGGCCCCAGGGGCGGGGCTGGCTTGAGATTGACAAGCTTGACTGGGAGGAAAGCGGGGG